CACCCGGAGTTCTTGGATTTTTTTCAAAGTGTTCTTTTTTTTTTTTTAATCTGCAGCTTTCATTGAGATAATCTGCGATGATCCTGCCATGAAGGTCCTTGTTCAAACGGTTCCTGTGCTATAAGGTGACAACGTCCTGTGCTTGTCTTCCCATTGTCCTCCTGCGTTGCCTGATGGAGACACTAAGCGATTGCACCAACGCACATTACTCAGGTATTGTCCACTGTGGTCACCATCAGGAAACCCGCCCTGAGAAATGCCAGGCAGCATTATTTACACCATTCCCCCCAGCCCTTTCTTCCCTTATTTTATAAAGCATTGCGCAATCCGTTGGCGTCATATAAATCCTGAGCGATACTGGCGCGGGACACTGACATCTTATTCATTTTACTGGCTCAGCCTCTGAATGTAACCAACATTTTACTGATTACCCCCCTTGGGACTACATGTCCCATCATTCTTAGCACCCTCACCCCATCATGACGTCATTCTTTCTATTCCTCTAGGCTGTCTGTGTGTTCAGAATGGACAGCGACTGCACATAAGGGGGGCTCCATAAGACCGTGCAAGCCAAGGAGCCACTTTCCCAATTGAGATGGGGGCCTGTGACTGGGGGACCGGTGATAGGAGAGAATAGAAAATCTCCAGAAGAAGCAGAGCAAAATTTAGGTCCCACCATCAGTATAAATAGGATAAAAATGGGTTTAGGGTTACTTTAATCTTTACCTTGAGAAATGTTCCAGGATTTTAATAGTCTGCCTTTTATCCGGTACTCCCTCTGCTGTCTCTGGGTTCTCCACATGTGTAGAAATCTTAGGAGAAGACATACAGATGTGGCTCCTGCAGCGACACTGTATTCTTCTGTATTAGGAGCAGCTGTCAGTGGTAGCAGAACTGTTGCCATGGTTGTCCCATGCCTCCTGGTGTCCCGTGTCTCAATGTTGCAGATTTCCTGCTGCCTTCCTGCAGCTATTACCTGTCTTCATGCATGCGCTCCATTATATTTCTTAGGGCAGGTTTCCTGATGGTGGATCATAGCTGTGTGCAATTTAGATTGAAATGACCATATCTGATCTCCATCAGGTGACAATGCAGGAGCACAGTTGGAGAGAAAGACAGAGCGTTGTCACCTAAAAGGAAGTGTCCAAACAAGGACCTTCATGGCAGGATCATCTGGTATTATTGGAGAGGTGTAGAGTAAAATTAATATTAGGCTCCTTTCCTATCGGTGGTCTGATCGGTTCCGCCATCAGTTTTACCCGATCAGATGCCCAATGTTAGTCTATGGGCAGCCATATATAAACCGTCTGGAAGTCCATTTACACCCAGTTACCCCCCAGACTGCGGCCAAGCCCGGAAAAACAAAATGGAACAGTGTTCCGTTTCGACAGACTTGATTGTGCTGGATGGGGGTAATCTGATTTCCGTTTACATCCGCTTCCCCATAGACACACATGGGGTCCGGTCATTTTCAGTTTGTTCCTCCATTGCAGGATGGAAGAGAACATTGTATGTACACACATATGACAGTGGTGACATCCGCTCCGATCAGGAACAGATTCCCTCCTGATCAGCCCGTGTAAAGGGGGCCCAACCTTTGAAATGACATTAACATGTTACATTTTGTTGTGTAAGAAAATAGACAATTTAGGAAGAAAACTTTTGTTTTATTTGTAAATAACTTCGGTATGTTTTTCCATGTTCTGTCCTTGTGAACTGGATAGATCTACACCAGGTGCCCTGCAAGCATGATATTGGGGAACATGCACCTCAAAGTCCTAACACTCTTCATGGATCTTGTACAGTTTCTGTAACCACACTGCGCCAAAGCACTTTGCAGCAAAAAGTGAAAGAATCTCGGGTCAGAAAGGGTTAAAAGGGGAAATTGAGGCGTTTCTTTTTTTGTGACTCCGATGACAGGAAATGACCCAGTAATTTAAAATGCGGAATGTCCAAAATATTTCTTCATGTTATTGGCCCAGACTGTGAAAATATGGAGCTATGTCGCTCACAGCCCTGACAGTAAACGGCCGCACTTCTATCAATGCCCCCTCTGTGCGCCGAGCACTCAGCAATGCCTGGCAGTGCCCTGTAGTAGCTTGGGTGGTGGGCTGGAGGCTCAGTGTAAGGCCACCCAGCTCTGTAGACACACACACACACACACACACACACAGGCCTGTTGTACAAACATGGAATAAGAGCGTCACTGTGTCTCTCCATGAAAGTGGGTGGGCTTCCATCAGGAATGCTGTAGTGCTTGTGAGGATACACACAGGTCCCATCAGGCCAGGATAGGCACGGATCCTCAGAAGGGTGACTTCTGATAATGTCACACAATCATTATTGATCATTATTATCAATCCATAGGTTTGTTGTGGTGCAGATCCCTAAGTTATGAATCGTATAAAGGACGAGTGAAACTAAGAAAAGGTTAGTTTGTCAGGGCTGGACAAATGAATCTGGAATTCATGGGCCAGTCTGTCCAATCCAGGAGCCAGCTCCAGAGGCAACTAAGGAAAGCCTCGAAAGTTAGGTGATAGCTGTACATTTTAAAGAACTCCAGGAATGTAAAAGAAACTTACCCGTGCAGTGGGGGAACCTCAGCGCTGCAAGGGTTAAGTACTCGCTTTGTCTAGGGGGCTCCAATAAAGCAGATATACTTGATTCTCGGTCCTTCCCGACTGCTAGACTGGTCCCCGCAGCCTCTTCTCCCCCTGACCTCCAGCAGACGGAAGACTGCTGACATCCTCCTGTCTGATGCAGGTACGTTGCATTATAGATGAGAATGCCAAGGGATCTGCCACAGCCGAGCGGAGGGGGAAAGTTTAAAATTTACAGCTGTAAAGAGCACTTAAAGGAGAACTATGGGGTTAGAGCTGTTCTCCTAAGGGTAACCAGAGGACACAAACTAGCGTCCTCCCGTTACCCTAAGCTGATACTGAGACGCCGCAGCTGAAACGGATCCCGACAATTATGTCTGGATGCGCCCAGCTGCGTGAGTGACAGCTGGCTCTGCCTATCTAGAGGCAGAGCCAGCTGTACCCGCCCCCTCCCCGTCCGTTCTGCCAGCCAGCGCTGGCGGATCGGAGCGGGGAGGGGTAATTTCGGTAATTTTTCCTTAATATATTAAAAAAATAAAACCCCCAGTGGTGAATAAATACCACCAAAAGAAAGCTCTATCTGTCCCCAAAAAAGGGTATAAAATTCATTTCAGTACAGCGCTGCATGACGGAATAAATGTCAGTTAAAGTACCGCAGCGCTGAATACTGAAAAATGGCCTGGATGGGAAGTGGGTTTAACACCGCGGATTTCAACTGGTTAATATTTACTGCTGAAATCTGATTGGTGAGCAACATATGATTGTTTTTTAATCAGACAATACGAGAAGACGTGGTTTCCCTCGTTTATCAAGACGTCTAAAAGAACTGCAATCAGTCCGATTTAAACAATAATTGTTGTAACCTGCTCTAGACCATTGGAAGTTGGTCGGCTGCTATGAGTATCCCCATTTTATCATAGGAATATATGTTGTTTACCTCCAATGTGATGACGCATATACTGTTTTCCTTCCGTCTCCTGTCCAGGCAGGGGGCTCTGCAGGGATACACAGGGATTGAATATGGGTGAGAAAAAGCCAGAGCCGCTGGACTTTGTGAAGGATTTCCAGGAGTATCTCACACAGCAGACGCATCACGTCAACATGATATCAGGCTCTGTGAGTGGAGAGAAGGAGGCAGACACCCTGCCGGGAGGTACGTGGTACATAGTTATGTGACATCATCCCTGTACATTTATTCATAGACATAGTGGAATGAAAACATAACCAGGGAATTTTAAAGTAAGAATGGGCCACGCAGTGCCCTACTGAAGGGGTAGTAATGGCCAAGTGGAAGATGGACTACAATTTAACGAGGCCATGCAGGACAAGGTGACATTATCGTTGGGAAGGCCTGGCTGACTCTCATATACTTACCTGTGCTCCCATGCAGTTCCTTGCTCTTCTACAGCCAGCGACCCGAAGGAGCAGTGACATCATTCCATGGATCATGTGACAGTGCTCCGGCCTAGCTGCTAGACTGGGGCACCATCACAGAGGAGCAAGGTCACATGCTACTTCATACCCACAAGTGCTGGGTAGCGATGCCAGCTAGGGATGCACCAATACTGATACTATCGGTACTCGTACTCACTGAAATGCTTCGATACCTCAGGGTTAGAAGATTTCCTCTGACCGGCAGTAAAGTAGGGGAACGTGGAGCCAGCTTCCCATGCGATCGGGAAGCTGGGTGGCCCAACTTCCTGATTGGCGGGAAGCCGGCTTGAGGCTGGGCAATCAGGAAGCAGAACGGCATGTCATTACCCGTCGCACGACTTCTTGATGGCCTGGGAAGCCGTCTCCATGCCAGCCGTATCGCTGAGTACTGAGAGCAAAATATTGGTACTCGATACCGAAAAACCGGTATTGGTGCATCCCTAATGTCAGCTAGAGAGCAGCAAGGGAAAGCAGGTATGGTGAGTATAAGGGGGTTGGGGGGTAATGCCTTTTTGGAGACACTGTCACTTTGCTCTGCATGGTCAAGGTTATTGTCTCTTTTTTTGACGGTTTGTATTTTTGGGGTTAGGGGAGAATCAACAATGGCAGCCCCCCTTTTTCTCTAATGACAGGCTTACTTTAAGTCTAGACAGTTAGGTCAGAGGTGAGGGGCAGTATGTAACATGTTTTTTTTGTACGTTTGTCAGCAAAGTACCCCCCCACCACCACTTCCGTCCCCAGACAGCAGTCAATAACTTGTGGGGAACTAAATCCTATTTCTTTTAGTGGAATTGATTTTTTAACATAGAGTTGCATGCCTGCAATCTGTTCTTTGGTAATGTTTTAACACATCTGCACCTGTGTACACATATCCTATACATTTAAATGAATGCCCTTCATTTCATTATTCCTCACTGGCCCATTCATCATTATCAAATGTCTCCTGAATGATCTGTGTGCTGACGCCAGGGTTGCCAGGTGGGTTGGTTTTAGCAAATTCTTACGGATTCCTATAGTGAGAGAAATACTTAGGATGCCAATACCGGCCTCTCCTTCTGACAATGTTGCTAATCTTTGGACTAAAATGCTCTGAGTTGCTGACCCAGGGACAAGACCAGGAGTTCTGGCTTCACTAGCTGCATGCTTGATTTGGTTCAATGACTCAAAAATGCTGGAAATCTAAGGATCAGCATGACAGCCAGGCAACTAGCTCCTCAGAACAAGGTTGGCAATGGCAGACTGCAATTCTCTTAGACAGTTTTCTTTGAAATGCTCTTCTTGATGTAACTTTTAATTTAAATGATTTAATTTTATTTCTGGGTTTATTTTGGCCACTTATGATCCATTGGGCTTTTTTTTTATTTTTTAAATAACATCTGGCAACCCTGGCTGAGGCTTTCCCATGGCGGTTGGCGGAGAGGTTCTGTTCATTGACTGACTTTCTGTAAATTAGGGCCACAAAACCTCGATGTGCTCACCGCTAACTCTCCGTGCCTTGCTCTACCGGCAGCTGGGACAGACAGTGATCAGAACGGTTTGGACCACCCGTCAGTGGAGGTGTCGCTGGATGAGAGCGCGGGGATGCTGGTTGATGGCTTTGAGCGGACATATGATGGGAAACTAAAATGCCGTTACTGTAACTATGCCAGCAAAGGCACAGCGCGTCTCATAGAACATATTCGCATACACACAGGTAGGACCCTGTCTGTGTATGCATGGGCAGCATGTTGTGTGTTGCTGGAGGGTACGGTGTAGTGTGTATGCTTGTACAGATGATTATGACTCTCCCAATACGCCACGATAGGTGTTACTTTTCAGTATGCTGGGAGTTCTACTATCTCAGTAGTGAGGAGTTTACCAGTTGTTCAGTTATGATTTAGAAAAGAAACTCTCAATAGCAATGGAGGGGTGACTCTTTCCGCACAGAGCTGATTCCTGCTTTCAACTGCAGCAGCAACGGCCTTTCAAAGTTTCATAGCAGCTCCTGACCTTCCGCCCAATAAAAAAAAATCTACTCCTACAGGTATGGTGGGAGACTAGGCACACTCCAC